CTTTTTTGGTCAGGAAAATTCACCCTGCTAACATCTGTGCCAATCTTCCTCTATTCTGTACGTAGGCTGCCACCTCAGCATGGCTGATGAGTGGTATAGGTCCATGCCCAGGATCCAAACTTGCAAACTCAGGTCACCAGAGTGGAGTGTGCTGAACTTAACCACTATACCATGGGGCCAGCCCAGGACTTTTTTCTTTTAAACTTCACCACAATGCCATTATCTCATCTGACAAAATTAATAAGAATTTCTTATTATCATCTAATAACCTGCCTTATTTTCCCGTCTCAAAAATGTACTTGTTAACGTAATTTGTTCAAATCAGCATCCAAAAATGGTACACGAGTCGCATTTGTTTGATTAGTCTTTTAAGTCTCTTTTAATCCAAAACAGTTTTCTCTCCATGCCATTTATTTGTAGAAGAAAATCAGTCATTTGTCCAGTGGCTGAATGCATCCTTGTAGTGTCATCCAACATGTTCCCCTTTCCTCTGTATTTTCTATAAAATGGTAGTTGGATCTCGAGACTTGATTATATCCAGATTCAATATTTTTAGCAACAAGATGCCACAGATAATGTGGTGATTTCCTGATGCATCACATCAGGAGGCACAGAATGCCTGGCTGTCTCACTTTTCATGATAATCAATGGGTTCAGGTGATGTCAACCTGATTCACCCACTAAAAAGTCTCCCCATGAATACTCACCTAGTGTTTGTGTAGCCCTTGGTAATCGTTGCCTGATAATATTCCATTAGGGATTTGATATCAATTAATCAATCCTTTCACACGTTACAACAGAGTGAGATAATTTGCCCTTGAATTGGTTAAGCTAAATCAGAAAAAAACTAAAGTTCAAAACATTTTTTAAAGCACCAAAACACCCTTGAGACAGTTATTGAAAAAGAGATAAAAGTGGCAGTTTTCAACCCATAGATTCCTAAATCTCTTTTGACAACAAGAATCCTGTTTTAATATCTAAAAATTTCACAGACTCTCTACTTCATAGTACTTGTCCTTTTAATAACAACTGATTAGAAAAAATGCAAATGATGAAAAGTTTCTATGAATTCAGTGACCCTCTAAATAGATTTCTATTATATTGATTATAACAGTATTCTATACACACTTGAGATATAGCAAGGCATGTGTCAGAGAGATAAAATAAAACATTTTAACTTATACATGCTGCAATCTTTCCCCTTTCTCTCTTACCTCCCAAACCACACTCCCTCCAGAGAGGAAAGATTCCAACTTGCTGCTCCAGCCCTGCGCTCTCCTCTGGAATACAGATCCCCAGTAATGACCCAAGAGGGGGAGGGTACAGCTGATTCAGCCCAAAGCTGCCAGAGAGGTTGAGCTGATGTACACAATAAAGAGCTGATCCAGAGAGAGACTGGTGGAGGGACAACTGCTTCAGGCTGAGAGTCAGAGAGTCTGTGGAAGTTTACAGAGAGCAAAAAGCAACACTTTCTGTCCAGATTTGCTCCCCTCCAGATCCTCCACCCTTTGATACTTTCAAAGGAGACTGCAGAAGCCTCCAATTCCTGTCCCAATTATTCTAGACACCAGGATTTTACAGGACTTACACACGTATGTGTGAGACATAGTACTGATTCAGCTGACAATGTTCCCTTACAGATCTACGACAACTCTAGGAACCTCCTTTCCTTCTCCCCACCGCACTGGGGTCCACAGTCCAGCAACTGCCCACTATGGGTATCTGGCACTTTGGTTCCTAACGTGTCACCCATAGGCTCTACCATCATCACCATCCCCCCATACTATTAACAGTACTCTCCATTAAGTGCCCCGTCTACATAAATCCAGAAGGCAAATAAGCATATTCCCCCCCATGAGGGCACCTTTTAAGCTAGAGTTTTGTCACCCAAGACCAACCAGACAGCCCAAGGCACCATCAGTCCTAATGATCATTAACGTAAGGGACCTCAATAGCCTTCTCTCCCACTGAGGCCAAAAAAACTCACGGCGCTACTGCCTGGCTAGGCTGGTTGCTCACGAAACAAGATATGAGGCTAATTGGGCCAATGACGTAAATTCTGATGTTTGTAGCATACACTTGGGGGCCCCAAACTTAACCCTCCTTCCTCCAAACAAGACACCATTTGATATTTCTGCTGATATTCTTCACTCTGTAGCAGGCATTTTATTCAAGAACTCGTGAAGTGAAACTTTTGAAATTGTGAAGGAAAGAAGTGATTTGTGGCAAGCAGAGCTGGCTTTACAGAAATGCTGAGAAGATGGGGAGCAGCTTCAATCCATCAATCAGAAAGAATTTGCAAAACATCTTGAATGAGTCAGTTCCCTGGAAAGATAGCTCAGAAGAGGGGCGGGGGGACAGAGTGGACCCAAGGAGAATGGTGAGGCTGCCAACTAAACAAAGGCTCCTGCCTCAATCCTTAACTCCAATTTCATTATAGAGTTCTTTTCCCAATATTCAAAACAACAGAAGGGACAACTTGCCATGATCCAAAAGGCTAAATTCACTGTCTTCATCAAGCCTCTAACCCAATATTGCTCTTAACTTTTTTCAGAGTTGCTCATTCAGAACAAATTCTGGAAATGCAAATCAGGGGGGAAAAATAAACAAAACAATAACATGTTGAGACTGAATCCAGCCTTGAGAAATGAATCTTGACAAGAAGAGCCACGTAACATTTCTCTTAGAGAACCGCTATGTCTGTCCCCTCTTCCCCTAAGTGGAACTGGACAATAATAAAGTCAAGCTCAGCATTCATTCATTCATTCATTCATCCATCAAATGCTTACTGGATGCCCCTTTGCTAGGGGGCACAGAGATGAACAGGACAGAGTGTCAGTCCACGATTTCCTGATCTAACTAACTATGCCGCTAACCTCAGAGCCACGCAGTGTGGCGCTGCTGCGGCAGAAGCGAGTTTACCACACCATGGGGGCAGCATCCTAATTTTTCAGGGGAGGGTAAGGGAAAGCTAGGAAGGCACTTTGGAGTCTTGCTTTTGCTCTTGATTAATTGCAGCTGAAGGCTGTGGTCCTGAGATAAGAAAGGAGTCAGTCCCACTTACCCCCCAAAAAACCTCCTGTCTCAGCTTTCTAGGTTTTCTGTGTCCAAAGTTGTCACTCAAGAGTAGCAGTCACCTGAGGAAAAGAACGTCTGTAAAAAGAGGAGAATGACTTAATCAAAGCCAAGAACTCCTCCCCAGGGGGATCATAGGGGCAGAAGAAGAAAGGTGACTTTTAACAAAGATCTGCTCCAGGTGGGTGAGGGACAGTAAAGAAGAAGAGATGAGAAAGGTGAAGTCCAGGCTCTATTTTTTTAATTAAAACTTTTATTGAGATAACTGTAGATTCACATACAGTTGTAAGAAATAATACAGGGAGATCCCTTATACATTCTTCCCAGTTTCCCCCAAAGGTAATATTTTGCAAAACTATACTGTACTACCACTGTCATAGGATGTTGACATTCATACAATCCACCAGTCTTATTCAGATTTCCCAGTTTTACTTTGTGTGTGTGTGTCATCTTTGTGTGTGTCTATTCAGTTCCACACAATTTCATCACCTGTGCAGATTCATGTGTCCACCACCACAGTTCCAAATTGAAAGGATCCTTTGTGTTGCCCTTTTATGACCACACCCACCTCCCTCCCACTGCCCCTAACACCTGGCAACCACTCAATCTGTCTTCCATTTCTAACTGTTATATAGATGGAATTATACAGTGGGCAGCCTCTTGGGATTGGCTTTATGTGCTCAACATAATGCCCTGGCTATTCATCCAAGTTGTTGTGAGTACCAATAGTTCATTCTTTTTTATTGCCGAGTAGATTCTACTGTATGGATATACTATAGTTTAACCTTTTACTCACTGAAGGACATTTGGATTGTTTCTAGTTTGGGGCTATTATGAACGAAGCTGCTCACTGAACATTCATGTACAGGTTTTTAAATGCTGAGCAACATGGAATTTAGAGACCACATTCTGAAGCAGGCTCCATTTTTAAATAGCCACTGAGCACTGGGGCTCACTGTGCACAGAGGAGCTTCCGAGGAAATGCATTTCCAGCCCTTTGACTCTGGGCTGGCTTCTGAGTCCCTGGGCTTCAAGAGTCTGTCACCATGTGCCCTCCAGTCAGCACTAGAACTGGCTTGGAGGAGTCTCAGCAGCACTGGCAGGTAGGTACGCCAGGTGTCCAATGCTGCTCGGTGTGGCTTCTAGCTATTCCACATCCCTCTGCTCCCTAGCCTTCTCCAACCATAATGTGCAAAAGAAGGACCTGGGGAGTTGCTGCAATGCAGATTCCTGGGCCCCTCCCCAGAAATTCTGATTTTGTCCATCAAGGGTAAGCCCAGAAATCTGCATTTATAACAAGCTAACTAGGTGTGGCTCCTGCAGCACACCCTCCCCTCTTCCTGGTCTTCACACTTTCGTGTATTCCTCCTCTAGAATGTGGGTGGGACCTGTGACTTGCTTCGCAACCAATAGTATATGACAAAGGTGATGGACTCTCACTCCTATGATTAGGTTATGTTAGATAAGACTTCATCTTGCTAGACTTGCTCTAGAGACTCTCATTGCCAGCTTGATGAAGTAAGCAGCCACGTTGGGAAAGACCACATGGCAAAGAACTGCAGGCAGCCTCTAGCAGCTGAGTGACCATCAGTCCTACAACCACGAGGACATGAATTCTGCCAACGACCAGTGAACTTGGAGACGGATTCTTGCACAGCCTGGGCAGTCAAAATCTTGATTGCAGCAGCATTAGAAATGAAGCAGAGAATCTAGCTGAGCCCTGCCGAGATTCCTGAACCACAGAAGCTGAGATAACAAACCTAGGTTGCTTTAAACTGCCAAACTTTTGGCAATTTGTTACACAGCAATAGAAAACAAATACACCAGGTTTTATGGACTGAATGTTTTTGGCCCCTCAAATCCATATGCTGAAATCTAATCCCCAAGGTGATGGTATTTGGAAGTGGGGCCTTTGGGAGGTGATTAGGTCATGACAGCAGAGCTCTCATGAATGAGATTAACGCCCTTATAAGATCCAAGAGACACAACTCAGTTTTTTTTCAGCCACATAAGGATACAAAGAGAAGTCAGCAGTCTGCAACCCAGAAGAGGGCCTTCACCAGAACTCAATCATGTTGGCAGACTTCCAGCTTCCAGAACTGTGAGAAATAAATATTTATTGTTTAAGTCACGCTGAATATGGTTGCTATAGCAACCTGAGTTGACTAAGACACCAGGTGACTCCTATTTACACAGCAATAGACAACCAACATACCAAGTGACCCAGATGCAGAGTAGCAGGCCCTAGCCTGGACCACACCTTCAGAACCACTGACCCAAATCAAGGTGAGGCTGAGACTCCTTGAAACAAACTCTTGCCTTGAACCAAACCCTAGAGTCCTTCTTGACATTAAAGACCTGCCTGCCTCCTGGGGGGAATCCTTCAATTCTTCAGGAGTACTTTGTAGTTTGAGTAACAACTGCCTCCTGTCCCCCAGGCTGCCATCTGACTCTCCCACCCAGAGGTGGCGCAGGACCACACATATGGAAATCAAAGAGCAGATGCTTTGTAGTTTGTCCTCTTTCGCCCCTCTTTGAGGTAGTGGGGAGCTTCTGGAAAAATCTTCATGGTCTTAAATGCCTCTATTAAGTCTTCTAATATCTTATTGATCACAGGATCAGCTTTTTTTTTTTTTTTGGTGAGGAAGATTGTCAGTGAGCTAACATCTGAGCCAATCTTCCTCTATTTTGTGTGTGGGATGCCACTGCAGCATGGCTTTATGAGTGGTGTGTAGGTCTGCACCCGGGATCTGAAACTGCGAGCTCTGGGCTACCAAGGCAGAGCTTGCAAACTTAACCACTACACCACCGGGCTGATCCCAGAATCAGTTTTTAAATGGCAAAAAGACTGACATGTACAATTACGCATACATAAACAAAAATATATATGTGTTGGTTTTAGTGTCTGTCTGTCTCTACACACACACACACACACAGAAATGCAAGCACCATAACATAAGGGCAGAGACTTTTTCTGTGGTGTTCACTGATGAATCTCCAGAGCCTAGAACTTTTCCTTACACATATTGATAGGAAGGAAGGAGGGATGGAAAGAAGGAGAAGACGGGAAGAAGGGGCAGGGGATGGGGAGGAGGAGAGGAGTGTGGGACACTGTGATGGTCTCCTATCTGTACAGAGCTAAACTAATCAATGAAATTAATCCGACATTAATGGGTGATCACAGTTTTGTCCTTTTACACTTCAAAGGAGTGGCCACTAGAAATCTTCTAGGGCTGTGATATGGTGATTCACATTCTAAAGGCATCTGTCCATTCCATCCCCTTTCCGGGACAGCAGGGCATCTTAACTGTATATTTATCTATCATAAAATATCCCTGGTGCCCTCAATCAGCCACAATTTGCAGTCAATTGAAGACAGCATGCATATTTTTGAAAACCCTACAGTGACACACCACTTTTGATCCATGAGACTCCTCACGATAATCCACTTCCTGTCAAACAGCGGAGTCACACAATGGGATAGCCTTAATGGGCCCATCTTTAAACAGACCTCCCAGGTTGGAAGCTGATTAATAGAACCAACTCTGAGAAGGAACTTTAACTTTCAATTCCCTTTTCTGGCCAAAGACAGATCTGTGATGTGATTTTAAGATGGTTTTTGCAGCTCCAGATTGCTTAGGCAGTAAAACCAGCTTTGTAGTAATGTTTTTCCTCCACCACTTCCCTAGCCTTGGGGTTCAAATTCTTTCGAATCTCTCCGCAGATGAATCTGATGAGCTTCCTGCATTATTTATCCTCGAGGAAATTAGGAAAGCCATTACCAGCTTGCCTTGTGTTACTAGGCAAGTCTAACCACTGAGCACACTGATCCTGTTTAATCAAATAATTTATTTACACAGGATCGACATTTCTAGTCATACTTTGGATTGAAAAAAAAGAAGGAAAGAAAAACTTCTTAAACGCCTAGGCTTTAATTTGGAACCTGGTTCACCACTGTCACCTCTCTTCACTCTGGGGAGTGGAGCAGAAGGAAGGGAAAGTAGCGGAACATGCACAAACTGAGGTCCGCCTGGCATGCTGTACTGTGTGTGCACATACGTGGGGGAAAAGCAAGGGTTCTGTCTCACACTCTACTCCTTCTCTACAGCATGATGCTCAGCCAAGGTCCTGGAATTTACCCCAGGTTCCAAACAAGAGATCAGATCGCAGCATTGAGGCAGGTCGTCCGCCATCGGGGTTTTGGAGAATGCTCTCTGACCCCTTGCCTCTATATATGAACCAACAAATATTAAACGCTCATTGTGTGTGAAAGACTGAACAAGGACTATGTGAAGACAGAAGGCTACCAGGTGGGGAGAAGGGAGCCACTATGTGCCACACTCAGTGCTATGCACTGACACACATTCTCTCTTTTAATTCCCATGAGGAGAACTTGTTCCCATGAGGAACAAATTTGTTCTCCCCCCTTTTACCCAGACGGAAACTGAAGCTCAGAGGAATTAAGTAACTTGCTGAAGGTCACACAGCCAATTATGAACCCAAGCCCATCCTTTTCCTGCTACATCACAAATTCTCCCTTCTCTGCTGACTACTAAATACCCTGCTTCCCAAGTCTTTGTTCTTTATGTTTCCTTCTCCATTCACAAATGGTCAGTGCTTCATCTGCCTTTTTTTTTTTTTTTAATACAGCAAGATTAGGGCTATTCTCTTCCCACATAATTTTTAAAAGGATAGATATTTTACATCACTGCTAAATTCATCCAACAAGTTGGCCCAGATTTTGGGAGAATGGGATGATTTATCACAAAAGTATCTAGTGTAAACCTCCACCCAGTACCACTGTACAAAATGTAGGATATGAATCTTCACACCAAGAGCTGAAAAACAAGCATGTGACCCCTAAGAAGAATAAATTTTGGTGGCACAAACCCTTAAAAACAAAACCTTTATTTCTTCAATAGGGGTCTTTCCTTAAAATTGGACTGGTAAATAACCAAATAAACAAACAAATGAATGAATAAACAAATAAGCTTTCAAAGGAAGTAAGGACCATAAAGAAAGTTGAAGGGGAGCAAAATTCCTCAGCCCAAGTATGCCACTTTGGCATGAGGATTATTTTGAGCTAAAACCCAACAGATTCAGGAAAAGCTCTTTTCTTCCCCCTTAACTGCCTAAATTTACACTGGAAAGGGATCCTGTACCAGAAAGAGAGCTATTAGTCCAGAGATAACTTTTTAACCTAAGAAACTTAGTTGCATAACAGAACAACCTTTGTTTTCCAACCATCTCCACTGCCTTCCTGTGACTGCCTTCCTTCCTTTTGCATCCCCAGACTCCTTCCCTTTCCTTAGCTCAAGATGTTATGTAAGCCTCAATTACCTGGCTGTCTTTTGAGTCTTCATATTTTTATGGGGCTCCTGTATGTACAGAAGTTTATGTTTCTCCTATTAATCTGTCCTGTATCAATTTAATTATTAGACCAGCCAAAGAACCTAGAAGGGAAGAAAGGAAAAGTTTTCCAGCCCTACAGTTGGTGACCAGAAAGAGACCTTCACTGGCTGGACACTGCTTTCTCCTGGACAAATGCAGCTGAGAGATCCTGGGAACTCTGACAAGAGCCTGCAGAGGTAAGAATTCTTAGCACATCAGTCTCACAGATCTCTGCCTACAGGGTCTGATGGAAATGAGAGTGGTGAGAGTCCTTTTCTTTTTCTAAATCTAGATTAGCAGGAGAAAATATTGGGGTGAACAAGTTCCTCGGGTATAGTGACTTTGGTAAAAATTTGTTATGAGTACTCGTTTTCTTGATCCCTTTCCTCCCAGAGATGGTCACTGTTTTCTGTTTTCTCTGTTGTCTTGTTCCATGTCCTGAGACCTTGGCTTTATGACCAGTTAGAATATTTTCCATTGTTTCTGCCAACTGGAGGATGCATGTACCAGTGTGCATCTGGGGGACAGCCGAGTAGGCTGTGGATCTAATCAGCAACATTCCCTTTGTTTGACTGTGCCAGCTCTCAGGGGAGTTGGTTACAAGGGATCCCTGTCCATAAGGGGCCTTTGTCATCTCAATATTCATTGTCTTGTTAGTGCTGGAAATGCCCCATTCCAGTAGCGCCTGCCTGGTGTTACAGATTAGCAGGTCTGTGACCAGAGACATCTCATGTTCTTGTGGGAAACCAGAGACACTGTTTACTCTACACCATTCTTACCACCTGTGATAATAAAGGTCTTTGCTTTTTAGGCTAACTCTGGGAATGAATCCTCTGGATCTTATGAGAGCTACTTCTTTTGCACTGTCCTTTGGGATGTCTCTTGTGTCCATGGTTAAGCCATAAAGAGGCTTATTAATTAGAGTTGCTATTGAGATTAATGTAAGATCCTATTCATCAATGGCCAGATGATGGATCCTTTGAATTGGCCATATTTAAAAGAAAAAATTTTTTTAGAGATCGCTAATCCTATATAATTGTCATAAGCTTACTGGTACACATGAAAGACCAAGTTGAAAAGTAGATACAAAGGAATATAACAGCTAGCCTTAGGGTCTCCCTTAATAAGATGAAAGAACAGAAATTGGACTTAGAACAAAAATTAACATCCACTGTAACCTAAATTTCCCTTCTCTACCCTCTTCTATATCCCTTTATCCCTAACTCCCTGTCCTTGACCCTCCAGAAGATCTTTTAGATCTCTGGGCCCCTGGTCTAACCCTCACTTCAAAATCTAGCCCCATTGCCTCAGCAAATTCCTTTAGATTCCCCAAATCCTCCGACTTCCTCAGAAAATCCCTTAAACACTCAGCTGTCTGTTTTGACTTCCCTCTCTTTACAAGATTTACAGAGCACATTCCAGCCTGATCTCCAGGCCCAGGGGTATACAGGTTACTCATGTAAATACTCAAATCCAGGAAGTGAATTTAACAGAAGCACTGAGATGGGTGGTAGGGCTTGCTTTGCCGTCCCTTACAATTCCTCCTACTTTCCAGGGCTCTGTGATCAGGCTCTGCCAGCTTTAGGCCTTCCCATGCAATGTCCTTTGCAAATATATCCTGGACCCTCACCACAGAGAATTCATGTCCCCTGGACAGCAACAGATCTTCTAACTTATAAAGCCTATATTCTCAGAAGATCCTACAAATTTAGAGAGGAATTAGAAAGATTAGTGACCATTCACAACTCCACTCACAGGGACCCAGATGGGCTGATAATGGGTGTTTTTCCCACCCACGATTATACTGTTGTTATCAGACTAGCCAGGCAACCCCCCTGGGGAAAAGCCCCCTCAGGGAGGAAATAGTGGCCAGAATTTCTCCCCAGCACTCCTACAAATGACCAGAAAATGACTCAACTAGAAGCTGTTAGTTAGGAGCTCATAGGAGCAATAGCAGCGGCTTCCCCCCAAGATGAATTGGTCTAAGCTTGAGTAGTACACTCAGAAAAGAGAAGATCATTCAAAGGCCTTTGTTAAATGCTTTATACTAACTTTCCAAAGGCATATGGCACGAAACCCTGAAGCTCCAGAACAAAGAAATCTTTTAATTTTCACCTTAGTAAGAATTTTCTCCATGATATAAAAAAAGCAAATTCAAAATAGTGTGGTTGAGTGGACTAGTCAACCTTTAAGCATTATAATGGAAGTATCTACCCAGTTCTTTGAAGATAGCTTGCAAGAATGTCAGAGGAAAAAGAAGAGTTAAAATCAACAAGTCTTCATTTGCAACTTGAACCTTTAGAGAAACAAAAGCATAACTCTGAAAGCAACTCAAAATCCATTCAGATCCTTTCCTATTTGCCTTCATACATTTTCAGATATCATTAAAAATCAGGACACTAGAAGTGAAATTGTCCTGCACCTAAGAAAAAGACAGAACATTTTAAATAGTAATTACTCTAGACCTCTAATAATAGGCAAATATGCCCCCAAAACTCCATCTTGGAGAAAACTTGAATACTTCCTCCATGTGTTTGTGATGTAGATTTTTTACTGCCATGTTCTCTAGGACCTAAGAGCTATGCTTTGACACGCAAACTTTAGGGAGAAGTTTCTCATGAGAAGGAAGAAAAAAGAACTATTTGGAAATTGGGCTAATGAAAAATCTTAAATGCCCTCTCCACAAATATTAGTAAGAAGCTTTAGCCATCTGAGCAGATGAACTTAACTTATCCCAACTGCCCAAACAAAATTTAGATAAAACTGTTTCTTTATAAACTAGTGAGTTTTTTGTTTTGTACCTGACTCATGGCTAAAATTTTAGAACAAAACCTATAAGATCTCTGTTTGGGTCCATCTGCATGTTTATGTGTGTCTATATCTGTATGCTGTAGATATGAGATATTTTTCTACCTCTGGATGGTATTGCCAAATTAATTTTTAAAAGAGCTCTATTTAAGTTGGCTAAAATTGAATGAATTTATTATAAGGGTTATAAAATTAAGCTTTAAATCAGTAGTGTACTACATAAAACTAAAACTTCATTTTTTTCTTCTGTTAAAAGGACAAAGTTTTCTGGACTATCGGTCAGCTCCTGATAAGACTGTAAAAGGTTTTTCTTTACCTTTTAAGTAATCTGCCTAAAATGCAAAATTCTGTGTTTTATCAAAGTAATTACTTATGTCTCATGTTATCTTTATTATCAGGTCTTCGATCACTTAGGAAATCTGAGTCTTCTTAATATCACAAGAACTAAGTTTTGCTCACAACTATGTAATCTTGTGTATTTGCCTTTAAAATATTTTACTGTTGCTTTGGTCAATTAGTAATTAAGTGTTGTTTCATAATGATCTGTGATTCTATTTAGTCAATTTTGATATTTTTGACAAACTTCTCAAAATCAAATTGTAAATGAAGACTTTTTGACCTGGAACTAACTTTGGGATTTTCCAGAGGGCCCCTAGAACATCTCAAAAGATTTGGTCTCTCTCTTTACTGAAAAAAGGGGGGGTGTTAAACTAATTAGGCTTTTTTGATATGTTAAACTACACAGAAAGCACTATCAAATAAGAGTAACACTGAAGCTTTTAAATTCTATTTTTATGGATATATGTTATTAATATAAGTGCTCAGAAATAGCATAAAATTCCTAGAAATATGACATGTCCTGCTATAATGTTATCACTTCTAATTCTAGTTATCTTACAAGGCTGTGTGTCACAGAAATAACCAATTTCGTCATCAATTGCATTATAATGAACTCTCATCAGATCTTTAACCATGGCCATTTTTAAGTCTTTTGTCATTTACAGTTATTGTTTTACTCTGATGCTTTTGCAAAAGTGTTCCTGCAAAAGTGCTTCATCTTTAAGATTCATGGAAAGGACTCTGGCAAGCACAGGTTTCTGATAACTTTAAAGTCATAAAACTGAATGGGTGACAATTTCAGAACTAATTTAAGAAAACTGAACTCAAGCAGAACAAGAATTAATAACCTGGGATTGAATGAACTGAGGAATATGATTATAATTTTTATGACTTTTTGTTTGAAACATTACTAGTTCTTGAATCTTTTGTTTTCCAGATATAAGGAAATCTTTCATCTTAAGCTAACTATGACCTACACCAATTTGGTAAGCTACATTTTTGTAAGCAGAATTCAAACATTTATCTTTTTCTCCCTACCTGATCCTTCCAGAATTCAGAAACTCTTAGTGAGTATTCTTATTATCATGGCAATATAGTTATTTGCAAAAGTTCAGTAAGAATCTGTTTTCCTTAAACAGGACACAATTGGAAACATTGGTTATATTGCCAAGGCTTTGAATGGAACATCATATTTGAGAGAGAAGTGCACAGAATCAGATATGACCAGACAGCTCTAATGAACCAAGGTTGACTTTACGGAGCCAATAAAGCCCCTTCGACAAAATAGCTTGATACCTTGCTTACAGGGTTTCCAACAGCGTAACCAGGTGATTAAGGAAGATCATCTTCTGGCAGGTGCAGAAACCTCAGGATGTTTTGGGGACCTCAAGAGAGAAATTCACCCAAATCTATAGGTAATGGAGGCAAAGTCTTACGGCAAATCCTTGGCTTGGCTTCCTAACCTCAAGAGACTTTTAAAAGTCCAATCTGAGATTCATCATGAAAAGTTCCAGCAACACAGATTAAAAGAGCCTATGGGGTCAACTGCTACTCTTGCTGTACTTATGTAAATAATCATGCCAAGTTTATGGAAATTAGACTTATTTTGAAAACAAATTAGTCTTAATTTGGCTATCTTTGGTAGAAATGAAGGTGAAGGTACAAATAAAAGTTATGTTTCAGTAGAAATTATAAGACACAATTGTGGATGTTAGATTTTAGTCCTTGTCGATGAAAATAATTTATAACCAATCTATAAATGAAAAATTTGGGTGAGTTTATTCCGAGCTTAAATCTGAGGATTATAACCTGGGAGAGTCTTTCCACAAAAGAACAGAGCACTCCAAACAAGTGGGGGTATTCAGGGTGGTTATATACCCTCAAAGAGTATGTTTCACATATGATTTAAATGTCCCTTTTACAATAGTCACGAGGCTGCTCTGTCAGCACAGCAATTGATGGAAATGGCAGATAGGTCTGCTGTCTCAGTGAACGCGCGGGGTGGCAGGTGTGTTGCCTTGGGCTGGGGGGTCACAGGTGAGCGCTGCAATCAGTTCCTAGCCTAAAGAAAGATGCTTAATCTTTAAGGAGATGCCAACGTTGGGAGGGGGAGAGAAGTTGCACCTTTATCTCAAGGGCCTTTTGCTCTTGCCATAGGGAATCTCTAAAGCAGATATACAATGCATGCTCAACGGCCTCGGTCAGGCCCTTTTGGAAAGACAAGGTCAGGCCGAATTAGGTTTACACAAAATAGCTTCCTCATATACTCCAATATATCCTATTACTTGCCATTTTTATTTGTCATCCTGTTAACTTCTTTGAGGTTTAGTTTTCTACCTGTAAACTAAACTGGATCCTGGATTCTTCTAGTTTCTTCCAATATTTGGCTATGATTCTCCAAACTAACATTTCCAACTTTCTTCCATCATTTTGGCTTGGAATCATTGGGAATTAAAACTCCCCTTTTTCCTGAAGACTTGCAAACTGAAGCTAGACAACTTCATATAAACCTCAGAGAAATCTCCACAATGGCTCAAGTTTAGTCTACCTTCTTTGTGCCTGTTGCTGTATGGGCCACTCAGAAAGTTTACAGGTACACCTGATGACATCATCAGAGATATTCAAACTGCAAACCAGAAAATCTGTCAGATTGCCACTGCCTGCCCTCACTCCATCTGAAGATGCTTCGAGCCTGACATCTAGAAACCTCAGCTAGCAGCTCACAAGATTCAGACACTGGGTTGATAACTTGCTCCAACCATTAACTCTTGTTTTACTTTTGTTTCCATAGAAATGCCTCTTACTAATTACCTGATTGCTTGCACAACATAGGCCTACTTTTGGAAGCCTTGCTGCAAAGACCACCTCCTGAAATAAGACACAACTGTTTAACTGAACTGACATAGTCTCAAGATTGAGACTGTTTTAATGAGATATGGAGCAACAGACCAAGTTAGCTTCTGGACTGTAAAGCTTCTTATTTGAAGTTTCAAAGGCAGGACTAAAGGGGAGTAAAATTTGTCACCCCAAGGTCTACCACCAGGCATGAGGATTATTTTGAGCTAAAGGCAACCCAAACTCAACAGATTTAGGAAAAGCTCTTTTCCTCCCCCTCAACTGCCTAAATTTACATTGGAAAGGGGGCCTGTATTGGGAAGAGAGTTTTTACCACAGATACCTTTTTACCTAAGAAACTTATCTGCATAACAGGGCAACCTTTGTTTTCCAAACATCTCTTCTGCCTTCCTGTGAATGGCCTTCCTCCTCTTTGCATCCCCAGACCCCTACCCCTTTCCCTAGCTCAGGATGTTATATAAGCTTCAATCACTTGGCCACTTTTTGAGTCTTCATGTCTTTATGGGGCTCCTGTACATATGTAACTTCGTTTGGTTTTCCCCTGTTAATCTGCCTTGTATCAATTTAATTATAAGACCAGCCAAAGAACCTAGAAGGTGTCAACGAAAAATAATCCATAACCAATCTATAAATGAAAATTTGGGTGAGTTTATTCTGAGCTTAAATCTGAGGATTATAACCCGGGGCCTTTCTTCCCAAAGGAAGAAAGGGCACCAAAGAAGTGGGGTGCACAGAGTGGTTATATACCCCCAGAGAGGATGTTTCACATGGGATTGAAATGTCCCTTTTACAATAGTCGCGAGACTGCTCTGTCGGCACAGCGATTGATGGAAATAGCAGATAGGTCTTCTGTCTCAGTGAACACAGCAGGGTGGCAGTCTGTTGTCTCCAGCTGAGTGGTCACAGGTGAGCTGGGTGGTCAAAGGTGAGTGCAGCAATCAGTTCCTAGCCTAAGGAAAATGCTTATCCCTAAGGAAATGCCAATGTGGGGGGAGGTTGCACCTTTATCTCAAGGGCCTTTGTTCTGGCCATAGGAAAAGTCTAAGCAGATAGACAATGCATGCTCAATAGCCACAGTCAGGCCCTTTTGGAAAAAACAAAGTCAGGCCGAATTAGGTTTATACCAAATGGCTTCCTCATGTACTCCAATACATCCTATTGCTTGCCATTTTATTTGTCAAAGGGAGGAAGGGAAAAGTTTTCTGCCCCAACAACAAAGCATAATGTATTCTTTCTTTGCTATTACTGATCAAATCAACAACATTCCCTGGTGCTTTGGGGTGTCTCTTGCTCTCCTGTGCATTCCCTCAGAAGAGCAATGACATTTGTTGATTATTTCCATTTGGTTTTTGGAGGCCAAGGTGGATTGTATCCGCCTTTCCTATTATCCTACCGATACCTCCCTGTATTTTTTGCAGTAGATTTTCCGAACAGCAATAGGTTCTAATCAATCTTCCTGGCTTAATTTCTCAGAATCTCACAATCTCCTCAAGGAACGTTTCAAACCTGATTTATCATCATTACCAGACCCTAAATATTCACCAGATTCTATATTATTTATTACACCTAGTTAATTTCCCTGTTCTCGCCTTATGGGTCGAATCACAGAGCATGTGAAAGATTATCTGCACAATATGTCATGAAGATTCTACTATAATGCAGAGTCACATCTAGAAAGAAGCATTTCACACCCCCCCCGCCCCCTCCAGAATAGCTCTGAACAGTAGCTGAGCCCATCTGCTTCTTTTCAAGACTCTGCTCCACATCCAGGCACAGCCTCCAAGCAGCCTCTGAACTACAGGTATGCAGATGCAAGCAGCACCAACTTCCCCACCTCCCTCCAGCTGGGCAAAAGCCCCATCTCTGCTGCTATGTTACAGAGCCTGGCAAGGGGCTAGGCAGGAAAAAGTGATTCCAGGTCAGTCCTGTGTGGGGAGAAAGTGTCTTAAGGTTACAATGAGGTAAGAAGTGGACACAGGTCACAGTACTACCCTTCTGGGGCAAAATAACACCCCCCAGTTTGACCTGTCCTAGAGAACAAAGATCTCCCAATGGTGACCATACGAAGGAGACATGTCACAACTCACACCCGTCATGTCTCCCAACAGGCTAGCTGTGGCTCTCCAGTCCACACCTCCCAGCCCCCTCCCTCCGTTTTCCCCAAACGAGAGAAATTTGGCTCAGCCATGAGCAGTCCAAACTTGGGTTCCATCCATAGCACACACTAATGATGGAGGGGTTTCATCTGAATTCTCTTTTAGGAAAACATCTCTAGCTCATCCAGTGTTCTGTGCTCTAAGAAGGCCCTTCACAGCCCTGACTCTGCCCAGGAAACAGTTGCCTGGTGTGTGTTGGGGGATGGGAACAAGATTCTCTGGGTCTAGAGCTCCAAGAGACCAAAGGTGTGTTCTGTGTTGTTCCAGATGACAGGATTAGAACCCATAAAAGAAGCTGAACAACAGGTTTCTTCTAAATACAAGAAAGAGCTTCAAACAGAGTCTTTTTCAGAACAGTCTGTCTTGTGGAACAGTAAACAGAGGACAGGTAACAACCTTCAGGGATCGTGCATGAGAGGCAAACCAGATACCTGCCAAGACCTCTGTCAACACTCACTTGTGACTCTGAGGAGATGGTCTATGTTAAACTCACAGAGCCACAGCATTCCATACCTCGAACAGATTCCTGAGTTCATCTTGTCTAGAGGTTGCAAATTAGCAACACCAAGCTGAATTCAGCCCAGGGGAAAATTCATTTTTGTTCACAAAGTGTTCATCCACACAGGTTTATTGTTTCATCCAATATTTAAGAACTAAAGATTTCACATAAACATCTAGATTTTTCAGCTTCTCTTTTTAAAAAAATCAGAAGATCTGGTCACATAGGGTCTGTGTTCAGTTGAAGCTGAATAGTGGACTGCCCCCTTTTGATGGGGCTGTGCTCTGCCACAGTCCCCACCATTCCCCGCTGCCTCCTAGCCCACAGTAAAGCTGGGTTTTTACTGGCTTTCTGTTTCCTTGTTTTATCTTGCTTTCTTCCAATGCCTCTTTATTCACCCATCTTTTCTGTCTTGCCCTTCTGGTTATGAGTGTTTGCCTCTGCTGGCCTAGTTAAACCTAAAAGAGCGAAGGCTCAGAGAAGTTAAGTGACGTGTCCGAGGTCACACAACCAGCTAGTATAAAGCGAGGAGCAGAACCCAGGTTTCCTTGTGACCCAGTGCTCCTTCAACTTGGCCACGCTGCCAGACTTGAGACTGCTTATTTCCCTGGACTGATCTAACTATTCACATTCAGATTGTGCAAACTATTCCTCTGCACTTCCATTTAATATATCCTAGTGATGAAGTTTCTACATCTTCCCTCAAAAAAACAATAATAATAGCAAAAACTAACTCTTCTTTCTAGCTGACTTTGCAAATAACCAACACTGGAAGACCAAACACCCTTTTGTGTGTCCAATAAAAAATCGACCTGATGAACACCTAAGATTTCAATATTCCTTGCAAAATCAGGAATAAGCCAAAACCTTATTATTTCTGACTCTGCATTGATAATCCAAATCAATAGAGCAAACAAGATTTCTGGGGGAAAGGTTAAAGTAATTGGCAGAACACGCTGATATTAAGCCACCATCAACACTTTCAAAGAATTAAATACAAATAATTGATGGGCTCACTATAAATCACCTCTCTATCCATCTATCTATCTATCCATCTATCTATATATTAATGGCTTTAGAAGACATCTCTCTAGAATGTAGCTTGAGTTACTGCCTGCACTTGAAAGCAATGCAACTGCACCTCTCTTAAGATCTTCTATAATCAGACCTGTCACTGAATTAAGCTGCCAATACTCCCAATGAGGATTTGAAAGGATTGAGGAAACCAGAGAAAAGACTGGTTAAGGACTTCCTAAAGCTTTTACCTGGGGCCAGAGATCGCTCCAAGTGGAGCCTAGGTTTACTCCCTTTGCCTGTGTGCTAAGCAGACTTCTGTTTTGCTCTGGCACTAAACAGAGACACAACATGAATTGACTTGCTGTCAGGTCCCTACAGAGGAGGGAGTTGGACTTGTCTGGGTCAGGTTACCTTCAGGTTCACCTTTTGGATGAGGCTAACTTAAACCGAGCAAGTGAAAAAGAAGATTTCCTAATCACTGAGGCCGCAGATATTGAACCGTCAGAAAACAACAACACTGAGATTGGGGATTACCTTAGCTGTCCATAAGCCTAATACTCAGGTAGACACATACCAGACTTAGTCGTCATGGTTGGCTGCCTATCCAAGATCCATTCTCTCTTCCTCCTTCTTAGGAAAACCCGCCTTATAGTTAGGTATCTAGGACTGACAATCAACTAGTACACAACAGACAGACTTAGTGCTGTTTATAGCTAGCATCCATTCTGATCGGTCCTGCCCAAACTGTACTAGATGTAGGGTATTTGCAATTTCAGTCCCCTCCCCAGGTAGTCTATGTACCAGTCCTGACTACAGAAATGCGTTCTGATTAGTATTAGCCAATCACACTAATCCTATCCTTCCTGCCAGTGATTGGTTCAGGTACCCTGGCTTGAGCCAAACAGTACAGAGTATTCGCTTTGTTGACTCCTATTGGTCCAGGGTTGGACCCACAACCTAACTGACCCAACTAGACTGAAGAGAAGGAATATTTAGTCCAAGATTGAAGGAAAGATTTTTCTCTCATTCACATAGAACAAAGAAGTCACTTTCCCCAGATGATAATGGCAGCCCTCTTGAAGTCCAGCCCCCTTTAGGACAGAGTCTATACACAGAGGAGGGTAAGCAGAGGGAGCATGAAGACTTGCAGAGGATAGAGCCATAGTCCCAAGGGTTAGGGTACTGTGCCCAGAGCCTGCCCTACCTCCTGTCCTCCCTTATGAGAAATAGTAAACCTCCTCATTCTTTAAACTAGTTTAGGTGGAATTTCTGTTCCTTACAGTAAAAAATATCCTATATTTGTACAAGCCAATATATTCAAAGCTGGTTAGAAGGGCTTTCCAGGCAAGCCAGTGTCTTTGCCCATCCCCTTACAGATTTTTTAATCAAAGCAGATAGAGCAACTGTTTGGAGCTGCAAAGGAACCTCAAAGTTTGCATGTCACCCACACAGTGCACGTCTGCATGTGTAATTGAGTAAGGAAGGGAGGTTAGCAAAGTAGGGGGAACATGGCTCTGGAATAAGACAAGCTCAAGTCCGGCTCAGGTCTGCCTCTTATAAACCCTGTGACCACAGAAAAGTGTCAATACGTATAAATTACAGGACTAATACTTAACTGACAGCATTGTTCTGAGAATTCAATGAAGTGCAGTGCACAAAATATCTAGTGCACAAGGTAGAAGCTCAAACAATATAAGACATTTTTCTTCCTTTCCAGATCCCCTGACTCAAAGTTCCAGACACTCCAATTGCTCCAGCTTCTATTTCAGCCCCTTCTTCTCTTCCCCTCTTATGTTTTGTGTGGTCAATATGCTTTTCATTGATTCCATTTACTGGTACTTACCATGTGGCAGGTACTGTTATGATATTTAATCCTCTTGACCACAATCACCCGGTGAGGAACATGATATACTTGTTTTATAGTTGATGAAATGAAGCTCAGAGAAGTAATGTAAACTTGCCCATGATTGTTTTTTAAAAGGTGAATTACCGAGCAAGGAAGTCTAGGTCAATGTGACTCTAAAGGCTGTGCTCTTAGCTACTTCATTATGCTGCCCATCCCAGGAGTAATTTATATACATGTCTGTCTGTCTCTTCCAGTGGACTGAGAGTTCTTCAAAGCAAAACTATTGTTTTCTAAGGGAAGGCAAGCAATGCAAGGACTGAAGAGTCACCTATTCTAAGCCATCAATGACAACACACACTCTTGGTTGCCCATTGTGCAAGCCTCCTTGAAGCCTGGGATACACAAAGAGGCATGAGACCTTGTTCTTGCCCTCAAGAGGCCCAAAACCAGGTGCATAAATAGGATCTCTGCATAGAAAGCAATATGATACAGCATATCTTATTTCTCCAGGGAGAAGCGCTAAATACAAGTGCCACAGAAGGTCAAAGGAAGGAGTCTGCCAAGAGCTGGCACGGGATAAGCAGAGGTGGAGCAAACACTGCAGACCCATGGAGATTAAGAAGGACCTTAGAGAGAAGATCCTGTCTGCAAGGCAGGACATGGCAGGGGGGCTGGAGGGGTGGGGGAAGGTGATGGGGGCAGGCAGTGGAGGCAACACAGACAGAATACAGAGTGTCAAAGATAAAGCTGGACACTAGTTAAAGTGTTAAGGACAGATCTTAATCAGTAATATACTATTGCAACAAGGAGAAGAGTCCAGCGTGAACTGAACTCAACTTCAACTTGTACAGAGGTGACTGGGCATTTTAAAGGGAGGGAATGGGGAAGGGGTGAGTGGGGGCTCAGTAGAGTCAGGAAGTGAAAAATCACAAAAAGCAGGAAGGAGGGTTGGTCCACGTGAAACCCATCTGGTTTTGCTAACTGGCTCTTATCAAAGTTCGCCTCCTCTCCTGCCACAGAGCTGAGGAGACAGGGGCTCTATTTTCAGATGTTGGCTGGAACAAATAGTAAATTCTTTCAACAGCCTTGAGTTTTCTCAGACAGGCACTTGAAGAGGGGCTAGGGTCATCCTAGGGATGCGGCCTTGAGCTGTTAGCAACCATGCTAGTGTTTGTTCAAGTCTTCATAGGCCAAGGTTGAGGCCTAGTGGAGAGGAGGGCTCAGAGGATCCTGGCTGGAGTTTGACCAAGGAGAGAGTCTGTCAGAGGGCAGCTCTAGCCAGCTGACCTGGCATTGACAGAGTTCTCTACATAGAAGAGCAGTAGATTGGGTTGATAATGACAGATAAACCAGACTGGTGATTTTAACTCTCCTTTAGCAAGAGGGTAAGCACCAGTCTCAATTTGCCCAAGACTGAGTGGTTTCCCAGGATGGGAGACATTTGGTGCTAAAATGCGGAAAATCAGGCAAATAGGGACCCATCAATCATCATCCTACTTGGAGGCATCAGGAACCTGGGAAAGGTTATTGAGCAGGAAGGCAGCGTGTGTAAGAACTAGTGGTGTCAGGTGATTCCTCCAGCTGTGAAACATTAAAGACCCACTCTCTCCCCCACCCCCGCATGCACCCCCCCAAGCCTCGCTGGCAGTTTAGCAGGCGTCACTGCACCCTGTGTGCTTATTACCGCACCCTGGCATGTTAGCTCTGGGCATCTTAGTTTTCCACTCAGTTTCTAAGCTGAGATGGGTCTCTCTCCTCTGCTTTGGGAACATCAAACACACAACACTGGACTTCAGGAATTGTTGGAGACTGTCAGAACACTCACTGCTGGATCTGCATTTAAAGAACATTAAGGAATTTGACTCCAGAGGCAGAAGGACTGGGTTGGAATTCCCTCACCACAATATCTAGCCATGTGACCCTGTGCACTGTGTTCCTTTCCCTAAGCGTCAGCCTCCTCATCTGTAAAATAGAGATAAAAACACCACCCATCTCACGGAGTGAGTGTGAGAATTCAATGAGATTAAGCATGAAAGGTCCTTAACAGGGTGCCTGGAATGCATCACACATTCCGTGAGTAGCAGCTATGGTTAGAATTGCGGTGGCTGTTTTGTTGTTAAGCATGGAAAAGTGGCACAATTTTATCCATAGTGTTTAAAGGTCAACATCCTGAAATATTTCCACCAGGTTAGATTTTCAGGTGAAATAAACAAACGTGAGGAATCTGTCATATAAACACAACTTGACCCTCAGTCCCTTAGGCTTATGTAATGGCCACTTGGAGATTTTTAGAAAAACAAAGTAGACTAGTGAAAAATGCCTGTATTGCTCCTGGGTGCCATCCATCAGCAGGAGAGGCCTCACCCCTGATTTTATTTTCCATGTTAGGGGAAGGCCAAAAGAAGGGGAACAAAATCCAATTAACAAAAGCATAATTGATTTCAGAAACTCATGAACAAGGAGCATCATTCTTGCTCTTCAAGCAAAGCTCTATCAGCATTGAGTGTGGTTAACAACAGAGAGGTAAAACATTTATTTATTAATTTTTTTAAAATATGCTCCTCTTTTAAAGCCTCAGGAATGAAGTAAAATCAAATCACTCTGTAAAATATTGACACTGGATTATTGCTGCAGTAATGAGCAAAATCCAAATGAGCAGCACAGCAAGGCACCTGTCAAGGGCCCCTGAGCCCAAGGAGGCTTTGCAAAGGGGGCAGGGCGAGCAGCAGGCACAGGACCCTTTAAAACACAGGAGCATGTCCAGGCCACAGCAAGGGCACCTCCACCTGGCCCACCCTGCCCCCTGGACTCACAGCCCAGAGAATCCTGGGTTTGTCACTTGCAAATTTTAGTACCAGACTTGACCTCTCTAAAGCCTCAGTCTTCTCAGCTGTACAATGGGGAAGACAATACTCACTGCCCAGGATTATTCTGAAGATTAAGAGGACATGCACACAAAGTCCTTAGTTCAGTGCCTGGCACTCAGCGAGCATCCAACGACTTTTTCTTCTGTCTTCTGAATCTCTTAGTCCCCCTGACTCTTCTAGACCACCAACTCACACCTTTTCCCAGAACATTTTGGTGTTACTTTAGCAATTATGTCTCATTTCATTAGTATATGCTTTTCCAACCTAACAACAGGGTAAATTCTTTAAAGCCAGAGATGGTTGATTATTTAATAAATACATAGCATGTATGTGCCAATCTTGACTCTAAGTCTCTACAAACATTGACTTAAGTCCTCAGAACAACACTGTGAGGTCAGTACTGTTAGATTCCTGTGTTACAGATCAGGAAACTGAGGCAGAGACAGATTCTGTAACTTGCCAAAGTTGTTGTGTTGAGATTTGAACTCATGAGGGCTGGCTCCAGAGACCATGCTCTTAACCATCAGACCCTCTGTATTCTAGACTTCTGTGACCCACTACCACATGGAAGACCTTCAACAAAGACCCATCAGTGGAAAGATGATTTACTCAACAAGTACCATCAGTGGAAAGATGATTTAGTCAACAAGTACCATTTTGCACATGAGGAAACTGAAAAACAGTGAGGTTACATAGTTTGTCCTGAGTCAGAAAGACAACTTGGAAGCAGATTATAGCCCAAAATGTCAGATCCCTAGTGGCTTGTTCTTTCTGCCACACCATCCTGACAGGCTTTTGAAGGAAGAGCTGCCCACTGATGGAAAGAAAGGAGAGGAAGTCACGTGAACGAGCCTTTGTCCATGATCCCACACCTGGGCCAGGTGAAGCCCACACTTCTCTAACCATGACCCCATCCACCATGTCCCAAATGGGGTCTTCACACTTTGGGTCAGCATTAACTACTTACTAGCTTTTATTTATTTTGAGGAACACTTAGAGTGTGGCATATACACGAGAGCCAGCTGAACCTGAAGACACAGGCTACTGGCAGGTCATGCAAGTGAAGTGGAGGCCCAGCCCAGATGCCTCACAGGCTCTGCTTGGGGCAAGCGTTCACCAACTTCAAATAAGCATCTCAAGTACAGGAGGCTTTCCAAACCAAATTCTGCTTCTGGAATGCTGCAAAAGTTTCTTTCAGGTATCATTTCTACATCTTTTCACAATTCCATAAATTAGTTTTTAAAAATTCAAGAGAATAAATCCATAATTTTAACCCTTTCTAGTCTATCAACCCTTTCTAGTCTATCAAAGTGTTATGTGCTGCCAGGAAAACTCATTTTGTATGGACCTGAGCACAGTCTCAGGGGCCAGGGGCCCAGGTTTGAATCTCAGCTCCTGAGCTTGACAGTTGTGGGACGCTCGGCTTTGTACCTCAGTGTCCTCGTACTTAAAAGGATAATAATCATAGTACCTACTTCATAGGCTTATTTTGAGGATTAAATGAGTATATATACATATACACACATATACACATGTATACATATGCACAAACATATATATATAAATATGTATGTATATACTATATATACATGTACGTATAACTAACTATACATGTATATAATTACGGTTTGAATTGTGTTCCCCAAAAATTCCTATGTTGAAGTCCTAACCCCCAGTCCCTCAGGATATGACCTTATTTGGAGACAGGGTCTTTACAGAGGAACTCAAGTTAAAATGGAGCAGTTAGGGTGGGCTCTAATCCAATATGACCGTTGTCCTTATAAGAAGAGGAAATTTGGACACAGACAAATGTACAGAGGTAAGGCGGTGTGAAGACACAGAGAAGACAGCCATCTATGAGCCAAGGAGAGAGGCCTGGAACAGATCCTTCACTGCCCTCTGAATGAGCCAACTATGCCAACACCTTGGTTTTAGACTTTTTGCCTCCAGAACTGTGAGACAATAAATTTCTGTTGCTTAAGCCACCCAATTTGTGGTACTTTGTCATAGCAGTCCTAGAAAACATGTGCGTGTGTGTGTGTGTGTATGTGTGTGTAGAGAATGAGGCACCATCACCCTAAAAGGTCCTCAGCACATGTAAGTAGTAGTACTTAACTATTAGCTAATAATAGGAGTAAATATCTTATTAATCAGAAAGCATGTAGTTTTATACTGCACTTTTTAAAAATCCAGACCCATGGATACAAACTCTCATGATAGGAAATATGGGATGATGGCAGTCCACATGGATGCCACTGAAGGCCAGGCTGGCCAGGCTCATCTCTTCAGATCTAGATTAACCGTCAGAGCTGCACCATATGGGGTAATAATGTAGAGTCTCTACAGCTCCTTCTAAGTCCTTATTGCTTTTCTCCAACTCTTTAAGTCAACCATGAGCCTCTGTCTTCACTGATTTAACTTTGAAACAAACCTTTCCTACTGCTCCTTTTTCCAGCTTCCAAATGACTTTAACGGAAATGTATTCTGTCATATGAAGGCAAGCTACAAAAAAAAGTTATATTTTATAGCTACTTATCTGTAGATTTGTCTCACTTTTGTGCTATCAAATCACAATGCAGAAGTTTGGGACCCGAGGGTGATATAAGATTGCAGCTGCCATCCATACCCCTTGTTGAATATTTTTGTGTTCACCAAAAAGTCTCATTTTCCCTCTTTGTTTATCATAAGTAAATTATAAGCTTGAAGTCTTGATATAATATAGATTTGTCCTGGTACAGAATCCTGATTCTTATCTGTGTGATGAATCAGAGAACTGCATAAGATTATGTTTGAAAAAGAGGGAGACTGTGATGGTTAATTTTATTTGCCAACTTGTCTGGCCACAAGGCGCCCAGATATTTGGTTAAACATTATCCTAGGCGTGTCTGAGAGGGTGTTCCCGGATGAGATTAATATTTAAATAAGTAGACTGAGTAAAGCAAATCTCCCTCCCCAGTGTGGATGAGCCTCCTCTAAGCCGCTGGAGTCCCGAATAGAACAAAAAGGCTGAGCAAGGGAGAATTCTCTCCCTCTCTCTGTCTTTGAGCTGTGACATTGGTCTTCTCCTGCCTTCAGGCTAAGATTGGAACTTACACCATCAGTCCTCCTGGTTCTCAGGGCTTCAGTCTCAAACTGGAACTACACCACCAGCTCTTCTGGGTCTCCAGCTTGCCCATTACAGATCTTGGGTCTTGTCAGCCTCCATAATCACATGCTAATTCTTTATAATGAATTTCTTCATAGAGACAGAAATAGATCTCCTATTGGTTTTGTTTCTCTGGAGAACCCTGACTACTAATACAGGAGCTGTTCTACTGCTGGTTAATAGTCCCTGTATCCCACTCTTTGGGAGAAACTGCCTTTTGACTTTCATTCAAATAAAAATTGCCTCCCCTAAGCACCATTGCTATGTTCCTTCCTTTCTGATGAACAAGAATGGTGGCCAGGAAGCTCAGACACAAGGTTCGGCTCAACCACAGTGACAGCACTGAGCCTTACAGATGGCATCTTTTTTTTTTTTTTTGAGGAAGATTACCCCTTAGCTAAAATCTGCTGCCAATCCTCCTCTTTTTGCTGAGGAAGACTGGCCCTGAGCTAACATCCATGCCCATCTTCCTCTACTTTATATGTGGACATCTGCCACAGCACTTTTGCCAAGCGGCAAAACTTCTGCCGCTTTTGCCAAGTGGTGCCATGTCTGCATCCGGGATCCGAACCGGCGAACCCTGGGCCGCCGAAGCGGAACTTGCAAACTTAACCGCTGTGCCACTGGGCTGGCCCCACAGCTGGCATCTTTGCTTTCTCTTCATTCTCATATTGCATCATAGTTTACTAAACTGGTTTACTAATCTCATTGTACACACCAAATTCTTTTTGGGAAAGTGAAAGTATAGTCAATAAATAATTTTGGTTAACCTATAGATCCAAATTTCATCTGCATCTACCTTCATATAATAATGGTCAGGTATTTTCCATGAAGGAAACAAAGGAACAACTTTTGGCTTTTCTTTTCCCACCCTTTTCTCCATTCCACCAGTAGGTATTTCCTCTAGACTAGAAATGAATAATGTAAAAAAGTATGATTCAAAAATATCATATCACCTGATAGTTTCTGAAGCATCACCATGTTCTTTATAATTATTTTTAACTGTAGGCTCAACAGGCAGATATATTGGCTTATCTCCTCCTGCCCAGGTTCCTGAAAGACAAAACATAGCAATTACTGTTAAAGGAAAGAATTACAAAAATCATGCATCTTTAATGAAACACACAGAAATGGAAATATTATCATCTAGCTTGGCTGGTTCCCAATTTGTGCTTTTGTGAGCCTGTCCTGCCAGTAATTCTCGGGGGAGTGAAGAGAAACTTGGACTGGGGAGTCGGGATCCTGGGGTTCAGTCCTGACACCCACATGTAAGTGGCTAAACCACCTTGGGTAAGTCAATTATTCTTTGCTGATCTCAGTCATCTGTGAAATTGGGGATCTAGAATCCATCATATTGACGGCAGTTTTGTATATGGTTAGGGCATGGGTCCTAGGCCAGACAAGGTGACCTTGGCTAAGTTACTTAACTCCTTGCTTCTGTTTCCTGATCTGTGAAACAGACACAATAACAGACTTCCCTCCAAGACTCCTGGTGAGATTTAAACAAATTAATACATGTAAAGTGTTCAGAATAGTACCTGGCCCACAGCAAGGCCTTCTTTAAATGTCAGCTATTATGATTATCTCCAAAGTGCCTTATCATCTTAAAATTATTCAACTCTATGACTCTGATCTCTCCCCCAAAATTCTTAGTATTCTGGGATTTCACCATTCAGCTACAAAGTGAACACAGAAAGAAAATATTGATATTGAAAAGTCCTATTTTTCTCTTTACCCGTATAGCAATAGAAAGTTAAAAGTCACAGGAATTTCTCAACTATCAAACACAGATAAAATACGCCATTAGTATAAAATGAGCCACTTTCACATGGTAAAAGCCTTAAAAAGAGGAGGGAAGATGGGAAAAACGTTCTGCCTTTCAGGAGAAGGAAACAACATTGACATAGTACTCAGCATCTGTGGGGTTCTCTACAACCTCATTTCATTAACCCCCTATATCACCCTGAAGCAGTCATACTACCCCATTTTACAGAGGAGGAACTGAGGCTCAAGGAGACTAATCACAGTTCCAATGGCATAAGGTTCTTCAAAGGCAGATGCAAATTCCACCCAGGCCTGACTGCAAAACCTGTACTCCTTCTACACCGGAAGGCTGGCTCCAAAACACAGGCGTTCCTCCCCCAGGATGGTGGTGGTCAGGGACAAGTTATTTTTATAAAACAAATTATAACTTAAGGGCATTAGACGAATTTGCTCTCTAAAAGGATCCTTTACGTAAGTTTTGGTATGAAGCAAAAAATAAAATCTTCTGCAAAATACTATCTCACTTTGTTACCGAACCTGAAGTGAGTTCGCTCACCCGTTGCGCAGCAAGCCAATCTCTGACACCGGGGGTGGTGGAAGAAAGTAGGAACTTTATTTTTGCACAGTGCTGAGCAAGAAGAGAGGGCAGCTAACGCTCAGATCCCAAACTCCCCGAAAAGCTAAAAGGAAGGGTTTTTATTTGGGGTTTTAGGTAGGGGAGGGGGAGCATATGGCCTTGCTGGTTGGAGCTTTCCCACCAGCCTGTCTTTGGCCTTGAGACACTTGCAGAGAAGAGGGAGCCCATGACCTTGCTGGTCAGCAGCTTTCCCACCAGCCCGTATCTCTTTGTGGGAGGAGATAGTCCAGGTGCTTGTCCTTGATGGTGTCTGTCTCCATGGAGGATAGTGGATTCTGGAGCCAGGAAGCCAGAGAGCAAGCAGGGAATGGGTGTTTTGCTTTTAACCCCATATATGCTGGGTTTAATGTGGGGAAACTGATATCAGGGTCGGTATCAATTTCCTAATTTCTTAATATCACTAACAGGAAAGTAAGAACAGTTGTCAAGTTCAGGATTGAGGTGGAGTAGAATTTGAACGCAGTGGGAAAATGGAACACAGTGGGAAAGAACGTGAAATCAGATGACCTGGGATTCAGCCCCACTTTTTGACACTTGCTAGCAGAATACAGTCACTATCTCAGATTTAAATAAAGACAACTGCACAGCACCCCTCATAATCTATGAGGCTGGAGTAAAAGATGAGACAGACTCCAATTTCTGCAATGCTTGTTCTAATTATTCGGTTTCATCTTACGAAAGAGTGTTTTCAAAGTGTCTTACAAGTTTGAACACTCAGATGCGATCTGAAATAACACCTCTTCTACAGATTCTTTCCTGACCCCTCTGTCACCAAGTGCAACTGGGAATTCACTCCTGCTCCCAGATTTGGGCCTCATGGTTCCATCAGCATCTACAAGTTTTGACCGCAGGTATGCCTCCTCAAACCAGGTGCTAAGGCCAAGGGAGCAGAGAGAAGCTCCTTCATTTTTTTGTATCTCCTACACCTGGTATACTGAGGCGATGTCCAGTAAATGAGTGCTGAACGTGTGAAAGAATCTCTGAATTCCATTTATCCATGCCTAGATACAGAGCCATCTACATAATTTATGGGGTCCGGGGCAAAACGCAAATTCAGGGCCCCCTGTTTAAAAGCAGATAAAAAAGTGATATTAAACATACTAAAATATAAAGCTTTTTCCTTCGTTCTGTTGTCTCTCTCTTTGCTAGTCATGGCATCTTGTATTCGCGGTTTGATGTCATCCTAAATAAATATTAAATATTTAAATTATTAGCAAAAATCTTGTTCATCTTTATATCGTATAATGCTAGCTTTAAATGCAACGGCAAGAGTACGACTTCACAGGTCACATACCCATGAAGAAGGCCCAGCCTGAGTACAGTGCTAACAAATTAAGGAATAAATGACAAAATTCAAGTTATCTCCTGATGTGAACTGACACAACAGTCGCAAGCAAAGTCAAGGAAACCTGCATATGATCAGCACAGGACTTTGTGGAACGGCTTTCTTCAACTTGTAATAACACCAAGAAAACCTTCCACTTAACTGATTGCAAACCAAACTGATTCCCATGGAGATGAAGTCCTTCAACGGTACATAAAACGTTCAAGTAAATAAGTTTCTATCTTCTTTGAAAAAAAGAGAGAGAGAACATAAAAAATAAGCTATTTATATAAAGAATTATGGATGGAGAAAATTGCTGGGTTTTATTTACTTATGTTCCATTCTACCTTCCTTCATGCAAGAGGATGGCAAGATATTATATCATAATTATGGCTCCCCTGGCAGCTTGAGTATCAATGGTTCCTATTGTTCCAAGCATTTTGCAAGCCCATGAGCTCCCAGATTGCATCACACACAGAAAAAGAGCAGGCGCTAATTGCATTGCATATTTATACCTCCCCGGGTCCCACCATTACCCATAATTCCCCGTGGGTTCTAATTAGCTCAATCAGGGCCCGGGTGTGTGTGCGGGGGTGGGGAGTGGCGGATAAAATTTTAAGCAATTTTAAATAAATATGGGGTTTGCTACCACTGCAAAAATTGGCAAAATGCTAATCTCACCCAACTACAGTTTATCTCCCATTTTTGAAGAAACTGGATAGCCTTTTTTGTTGTGCTTAGATTTAATCAAAGATAATAACTTCTTAAATAATATCAACACAGGTGGTTTATATTTTCGTGTCTTCCAGGAATTGGAGGGAAAATAATCCATTGTGAATATAATTTTTGTTGGGCTCTTAAGTGATGGTATGAAGATAACATCCAACAACTTTTTGTGTTCCTTTCCTCTCTCGTTTTATAATCTGCAATGCCCAGAAGCCTCATCTTTTAATTTTGTGCAAATTATAATGAATGGTGCTTAGGAAAAGGATTTTCCTAAAGGCTCATACTCTGGGAAAATGAGCTTAATTACTCCAGGTACCAATAGTGATTTAAAGTTTTGAGAAATAATTTTTTTGGTTTTTTTTTTTTAGTGAAAGAATCTAAAACTTAACATAGACAAGAACACTGTCAGAGCCAGTCCTTTTACCCCTCACATCATTATTAATTCATCCGGCTTCAGAATCACAGTTCTAATCAGGGAGATGCCTTGTGCGGCTGTGCTTACAATCAGCTCAATGCCAAAACGGCTTCACGCAATCACCCTTCTCAAACCTACAGATAACTCCTAATGAAGAAAACCACTTGGAAGGCAGCTGGTATGCTGAGCCCCACTTCATGGGGTCTAATGGCTAGAGCTCAGGGGCTCACACCAGCTTTCATCTCCTTATACATCCAGTCTTGATCTTGGGGAAGGTCAGGCAAAGGAGGGAGCTAGGGACTTCCAGACAGGATCCGAGGAGGCAACCCAGACCAGAGGCCAAGCCTGGCCACCCAAGGACTGAATGAGGTCTACAAAAACATTTGGTTTTTCCCATCTTTTTCCCCCTGCTCCAATAGCATTCAAATATTGGAAGTATTTACATAAAACTCCAGGGTGCTAGCTTCTTTCGAAAATTCATATTTTCTGTAAACAGCAGGCTTGCCTTCTGACATCTTCAAAACTGTCAAGTCCTGAGTCGAGGCAGCCATCTTTCCACAGGACAAAGACTTCTGGTTCTCTGTCATCCCCACCCTACCAGGCTGGTTCATTCTTTTACCTGCCTAGCTCCTGTAGACATTTGAGTTTGGTCCCCTGAATCCAAAGCCCAGGGTTCCCCAAATGGGCCTTTCCTCCAAGTTTCTCCAGGTGGTGGTTGGCCTGGTCCAAAATGCCAAAGAGATAATCAGCCCATAAAGCAAGAAAAAGAAATAAAGCTTTACTCAAAAGGATTCATTTGTAGAAACTTACATGGAGGAAGAATCAGGCATCATCATTGCCTCATTCAATATATATTTCCTGAGCACCACCATGTGCCTGGCAGAGTTTGAGGAGGTGGAGATGCAATAGTAACAAGAGTAGGTCCCTGCCCTCACCAAGCTTCCCTTCTCTTGCAAGACGGGCAATAACTTGAAAAATGAATACATATCACATCTGGTAAACCGTAAGAGCTGAGAGACTGAATATACAAATGGATGGCCAGTCTATATACAAAAATAGAATTCTGACCCACAACCTGACCAGGAAATCAATCCAGGAAACCAGTCTACTATAAGTCAGACTTATAGGAAGTCCGACCACTGTCTACAGTCATAGTCCAGGAAGCCAAACAATAACCCCTGTAACAAGTGGCCCAAAGTGGTCAGGACTTGATTAATAACTGCCAGCTTCCCCATCTAACACCAGCACCACCACCATCACCATCATCACCATTATCTCCATCACCATACTCACCACCATCACCATCACAACTATCATCACCACCATCACATCTGGTGTTGCCCCTGTTTCTACTTAGGACTAACCAGAGAAAGCCAAATAGGCACTCCTCACCAGTCTCGTAGGATGCTCCTTCTAGTTGGCCCACCTATAGCTTCCCCAGGACAATAGCCTCCAGTCAGGGCAGACCTGAAACTTTCCCTTTTTCCATTATAAAGCTTTCCCATACCTCTGCCTACCTTTGAGTCTCTGCCAAATACAAGGGATAGTGGGTGACTCTCTTGCTATAGCAAGGTCTGAATAAATAGTCTTTGCTGGTTCTCATCTGGGTGGTCTTCATTTATTTCTACATGGTTTTGAAGTAAAATATAGCAGAGTAAAGGGATAGAGTGAGGGGTGGATGGGGAGGTTGGGAAGGAGGTGACATTGGAGCCAAGACCTGAGAAAAGAGAAGAATGGAGGGAGGGAGGGAAGAAGGGAGCCATATGACTCTGGTGGATAAGCATTCCAAACATAGGGAACAGCAAGACAAAGACCAGTGGAGAAAATGAGTTGATATGTTCCAGAATCATTAAGCAGAAGAAAGGAGGGAAAGAATGCTAGGGGAGGAGATCAGAGAGGTGGCTGAAGGCCAGATGCCAGGCTGCATGGGGCTCATCTACCATGGGAAGGACTCTGGATTTTTCCCTCCGTGTAATAGAAAGGCACTGTAAGGTTCTGACTGGACGGTAATGTGTCCGGACATCACACTCGGCCTGCTGTGTGGAGAAGAGAGGGCAATGGTGGAGGTTGCGGAGCAATTACAAGGCAACTGCAATGATCCACGTGAGAAGTGAGGGCCACCAGGACTAGTGTGGAGCAATAGGAGTGGTAAGAGGAGGCCAGATTTGGGATATAAATATTGGTGAGGTGATCACGTAAGGAGTCAAAGATGGCTTCTCTCTCTCTTTTCTCCTATTTTCTAGCCAAAATTAGGAGCTCCTCCTACCTCCATACAAGCTACTGGGACCACTAGGAAAATGTAGTGAAGTTGACTTAGAAATAAAGCGAGAAAAGCTTTGGGCCCTCTGAAGGAAGGTGCTCTGAGAGGCCTGGAGGTTTCCTGAGCTCCACACACCACATTCCCACCACAGCTCTCCTCAAAGTCCCTTGCCAGGCAGTACAAATAGATATAAACTAATGTAGCCAAGAGTGGATGAGGCCAAGCATGTGGCCCTGGGGAATATCTGAGGAGA